TGCAGAATGGCAGTGGCAGTGGCAATGCCAGTTGCCACCTAGGCAGAGTTCCACTGGCATTTATAATGGGTAATGCGAGGAAAAACCGCAGAAAATTTGCTATACATCTGCAAAGAAAAAGAGCCAGTGTTAAAGCATAAGCCGTGTCGTGTAGATGAAAACTGGATTTTTCCACACACAATGAGATTTATTTATCGTGATTGTGCGCTTAATTGAAAATTGTTTGCGACTCAACAGAGAGAAAGAGAGAGAGAGAGAGGTGCGAAAGAGGGAACACGAGAGCGCAACAGGAGGCAACGAGACCGACTCCTGGCTTCCGTTCTGCGGGGTCGTATCTGCGCCCATATATCACCGTGAACCCATCTTGGGTCTCCGTTCTGACTAACGGTATTCCTAACACACATCTATTGACATACATTTTAGGGTCTGACTGTACTTTAACTGTACTCTGTACTCTGTTCGTTCCCAGTCTTCTACCCCCCTCCTTTTCACCCAAAAACAATTTGTCAACGACATGAGGCAATGATATAGCAGGAAAATAGCATGGAAAACTGTAGCCACTGTTCCGAGGGTAAATGAAAATGTCAGCAGCATCAGGCTCGGCTCCAACAGCAACAACATCGCAATAGTTAAGTGGATACCGAGAGAGAGAGAGAAGGAATAGAATCCATCAACCGCCCATGGAGTCATCCCATTGGCATCCAACTGGCAGCAGGCGAAACCAACGAAACCTTTTCAATCACATTACCCGATGGAATGCGACCCCAAGAGTGCTGCTGCTGCTGCTGCTGCTATATTATGCCATGGTATATGGCCTCTAACTAGCATCTGGGGGGGTTGCTAAGCAGCCCACTAGTTAGCAGCTCTTTTTAAAATAAAGAACAACTCTAGGACGCTTGTAGAAATGAGAATTTTAATGAGGAGTATGGGAAAGAGACGTTAATAGTCGTTTTATGAGGAAGATCATATTAATTTAGAGTCCATTTTTTTAGGAGACTTTTGTACAGCGTTGATTAAACGTTGATTATAAGTGGAAATTAGTTCTTTACATGACACTCTGTAGCAGATAGTTCCGCAGTTACAAAGGGAAATTAGAAGGGCTTCCTTTGCCTTCAAATTCTTCGTTTTCGATCTCAACATCTGCCATCTGTAAATCCTCTTAAAACCCCACAACATGTGAATGATATACAAAACTAACATGTGTTTTTCAGTTGCGAATCAGCGGCACTGACAGCCGCCCACACGCATGTCCTTATAGAGAGGGATCCTTTCAGCCAGGCTGCGGGGCGGCGGCCACGAGCTACCGCGTGTAATCCTCCAGCATTATTTCTATTCTGTGGCACACGCTCCACGCTGTGGGTGGTCTTGGGGCGGAAAGTTCCATCAGTTACAAGAATAGAAAGTACTTTACATGATAAGCGCCCCGTGGCATCCTTGACAAGGCACCCGCTCGCTCTGTGCCAATCCCCCCCATTGTTGTTAAATGTTGTATTTGTGGGAGACATAATGCACCTCCCAAGCCCCCCCATCAGTCACCAATCCACAAAGCAATTTTTATCGCATTTGTATTGTTTTTCTGTTTTTGACTTGTTGCACGTTGTCTGGCCGGCAGTGGGAATCAATTTGCAACTCCTTCCACTCAAAACTTCACACAATTAGAGCCAAGAAATCAGGTTGATGGCCATGCCGGCCGCGTTGGCTTTTTACGCGTCCAGGAAAATACACAAAAAGTTTATGAGGCGAGGGCGTGCCCCAAAGATGGTAGTTGAAAGGAGAGCCATAAAAACCGAAAGAGGAGCCCAGAGCCCAGAGAGAGTACTGCACAGTGGTTTGGCGACTGCCTCGTGGAGAACTGAAATTTGTTGGAATAGAGTGGAAAGACCTGAAAGTACGTGATCTACTTATTCCATGATTATTTTCATCCCACTGTACATCGCTCGTCTCTTTCGAGCTAAGAATGAGCAACGAAAAAGTGTGAATTTTATGAGCTCTCTGGAAAGTTAAATGGTTCCCCCAATTTTAATGACGACTGCAAGACGTCGGCGAGGAACCCTCGAAGGATAAGTACAGATGTATGCACCGTTAGTGAGGGTGTAAATAAAGCCAAGAATATTCATACCTTTCCGGGTTATCGCATTTCCACTGGATCCGCACTTCATTCTTAGGGTGTCGTCTGCCTGCGTCAATTACTTAATTTTAATAGCCTTTATTGTGCCACCAGCACAAATACGCAAACAGCACACATTCTACCCCGCGCCCATGAATGTGCGGCACAGAGATTGGAAAGTGTAAATCGCGTCCATTTACAAGCTCATAAACACAGAGTCACTGCTGGCTGCTGCTGCATCGTTGTGGGCCATTAAAAAACAGTCAACAAAACTCAAGTTCTACGCCGCAGACGGTAGAGCATTGGGTTAGGGGAAAAGAATGGAAAATATTAAGACAGAGATCTACTGAGAATTGCTGCAGCAGAAGCCTCTGCAATTCTGCTAAGCCTCAGTCGATGCGCTGCTAATATTCGCCCATGCCATAATCCATGTAAAGTTTTGCAGAGAGCAGCATAACGGATTTCCACATGAGGCTTCCACCTTCTTCCGTGTATCTACAGTGAAAGCTCACTGAGAGCGATCGCACTCCTTCCTGCCAATGTCTTCAAATTCTTACTGTAAGCCCAAGGTAATTTTATTCAAGGCAAGGCACTAACAGGCGGCTCTCTCACGATCGTGATCTATTTGGTTTTCTCTCTAGGGAACAATCTCGCATTTCTAGAGATGTGGCAGAAATGTTCTCTTAGGGACCTAATAGGTTACAGAAATAAATCACTGAGGAATCACTACGTTGTTTACCACCGTCCACAGGTTGTGCCGACTCCCACCCACCTGCATAAATTACATCTTGAGTCAAACTTTACGAAAGAGTGCCAGAGAGAGCGCGTATTTACAGTTATTTTCGCCCCTTTTGCTTTTCAAAAACTAATTAGAAATTCTCTGCCAATTGGCACTTTCCTTATACATTACCCCTCCAATCACTCCATCATCTAATAGAAATTATCTAATAAACTTACATACCTTTATAATTCATTCAAAATCGTAACTTTCCACCACTAAATAATTTGGGGACGGGTGTTTTTAGGGTCTTTTGCCGAAAGTCGCCTTGTGATTACACACACACACACACGCCACTATACATACAAGTGCATGTTTGTATGTCTATTCCACTTGTTGCCAACTGCGCGTTTTGTTGCTGGAATCTCGAGTGTCCATGCGTGTGTGAATGTTGGGCTTTGTGTGTGCGTGCGTCTGTGAAGTGGTTTTGGTTTTTTTTTTTGTTTATAACGGCGTCCGCCAGTGCAACAAATAAACAAAAGACGAAGGCGACGACAGCAAACGGCGACAGCGCGACGACGACGACGACGTCAACGCAGGTGTCGCAGACGTGTGGCGTATGGAGAAGAGGAGCGGCGGGGGCTGCGAATTATTACAGCGCGACAAACATGACATGAAACACACTCGTGAGAGGAGTGGTTGGGGGGCGGGAAACGCGCGTACGAGCACTGAAGCAACGACAGAGAGACACACACACACTCACGCACTATAACGTAAGAACCGTAAGAAACAGTTTAACGTAGTAAACATTTTGCAATTGTCTAGCGAAACAATTAATCGATAGACTACACTTTTACGCTGCAAACGTCGCGAAACTAACACGAAACCAAACGGGGACATTTATGCATTGTTTAATAAACACACAAAAACTAATATTTTTAGTTCTGTACAAAAAAGCGCAGCAGGCAGTGTGACCGCTGACTTATCGATTAAATATACCGCACGACCATCAAAAACATACCGAAATTTACCTTCTCATTATGAAAATATACCGTAATTTTACCGCATATCTTAAAAAATGTTCCTCGATTTTGATGTTCTCTTTAATTTTACTAGCAAGTTAGTATTCTCAGCGCTAAAATTATAGTTTTATCCGATTAAATGATCAACTCTCCACAAGTTTGACTAGTTTTCAGGTCTTCTTTTTATTGGAAAGTTTCCAAAGTAAGTTTAAAACTGAAAACACCATAAAAAGCATAAAACGTTACGTGGTGGTCATGGAACGCTACGTGTTTGACAACTTGTTGCATGTTAACCGGTTGTAGGGTATGTAATGTTTTTTGTGTAACCTACTCTCATTCAGGTAAATTTTAATGACTTATCTTGGATTGACATGTTTTTAACTTTTTCATGGGGTTTTTAGATACATTCCCGGTATCTATAATCTGCAAAATTTCGTTAGGTGGATCTCCAACACATTGATTGAAACCTGATATTTTAAAATTTTCCTGAATTCGAGGATATCCGCCTCCCTATGGGTACAAAATGTTGGCTTATTGGGGAACAGGGCTGATCACTTCATGCGGAGCAGCATGCTGCTGATCCGTACCGTTAACAAATGTTTCCCACGGTATAAAAAGTCAGTAGTTACGGATATTACGAAAGTGGGAGGGATATTTGAAAAACATGCATTTGTGGCTTTTGATACCCTGTAGGACTAATTACTAGATTAAATTGAAATGTTGGTTATTCCGAAAAGTAAATATTATACCGCAAACGTTTTTAATACACTGTCTGTTTCATCAAAAATATTCCAGAATATACCAAAAATGTTGTGAATACTCATATAATATACTGATACCATAAACCATGAGCACTAACCAAATGGTATTTGGTTAGTGTCACGAGTGAGTGATGAAACTTAACCCATTCGAATTCGCACTTTTTAAACGAGTGAGCAGCCTGCGCTGAAATGTGGGTAATACTACTATTTAGAAATGTTTCTTGTCGCTTCAATCTTTCTTTTTGCATAAAACCAAATATAACCAAGACAACATTCATTAAAAGTCTTAAAAATTAATAAAATTCCATCACAAATTTAAAAACCCCACAGGTCTACAATGGGCTAATTGACTATTCCTCAAACAGCTGGCTGCTGGCGGTGTTTTACAACACTTTTTTACAACACGCCGAATTTTATTGCCTTTAGTGGCTGCATTTTTTGGCTGGCTGGAGCAACCGGATTTAGACTGAATCACCCATCCGCCCACCGGGAGACCACACTATGAGCGCCAGCGAGGAATTCCAGAGCTGGCTCAACGAGCAGCTGCGCCAGCTGAACACAGACGAGGGCGTCTTTGGCTCCTACATTGTGGGCATACTCGATGGCGAGGAGTCGGAAGAGGAGAAGGCCGAGGCGCTCGAGGGAATTCTCAGCGAAACCGGAGTGAGTTCTGAGGACTTGGCCATGAATCCAAGCCTGCTAATTGCTACTTTCTACAACAGTCTGCCAACATTGATGAGCTGGTGGCCACCATAATGCAGAAATGGTTGCACAGCCATCCCAGTACCGATGAGCCGCCCAAGAAGGGCCTGGACATTGATGTGAACGGCCAGCTGGCCAAGCTGCTGGCCCAACAGAAGCTGCAACAACCCGCCGTCAAAGAGCGCGAATACACCGAAGAGGAGCGCCGCATCAAGCAGCAGATTCTGGCGCAGTATTCAGAGGTTTCCTCCCCAACCGTCTCGAATCCATGAGCAAATCCTTAACATGTGCTTTGCCTTGCAGACTGCTGTGCCTGGAGATGACGATGAGCACTCGGAGCCGGAGAGCGATGATGACAGCGGCGCTGTGGCACGCAACACAAACAAGTCCGATGTGCAGGCCTTGGCCAAGGAGAAGCGGGAACAGGCGCGCCAGGACAGTGCGGCCAAGAAACTGAAGGACAAGGAGGATCGCGAGAAGCAGAAGCAGCTGCGCGAGGAGAAGAAAGAGAAGCGCAAGACCGTCAAGGGTGAGCGCCGTCGGTAGCGCGCCCACAAATATATCCTCGAAATCAGGAGAAAGAGAGGGGGGCGCACGAGACAACCCCCGCCTAGATACTACACATATATCTGATATATCCTGTAAATTATATACACACTATCCTTTGACTTATGACTTTCGATTTTGTTTTGCAATTTAAACGCCAAAGTTTTTGAAGGGATATTCTAAAAATGTCTCGGTTTTTTCTGGTTTTTTCTTGCATTAATTTACTAAATTAAATTTAAAGTTGCAGCCACGAAGATGCAGCGGGGAATACCCACTCTCTCGCTCTCTAATGCTAACTTGGCCAACTGTTTACGTTTAAATCGCGGCTAAGAATCGCAAATGTTCACCGCGCTGTATATATATTAGGATTATTTCTATGTTATTTATGGATCCGTTTCATCGGTATGTTCTTGACCTTCGTCTTCGGCCTCTTCCTCCTCATCGTCGAGGGCTTCGTCTTCTTCGTCCTCCTCATCCAAATCTGGCACTGGCTCTGACTCTAGCTCTGCCTCCAGCTCGGTATCCTCGGGATTGCCTTCATCATCTTCCGGATCGTCGGTGTCCTGCTGCTCCGCCATCAGCGCCTGCGACACCTTCATGATGCCCTCTAGGTCGTGCAGCTTGAAGCGGCGATTGTTGGGATCCAAGCAGTTGGCTTTTACCTCCAAATAGTCGCCAATTTGCTGCTCATCCCAGCTGGAATACTGACACACACACACACACAGAGGAAACCCAAGAGATTACATCATCTTCAGCGGGAGAAACTGCCGAGACTTACCACAGAGCTGGAGGTAAAGAGCAGCTGCTCCTCGCCTGGTTCCGACTTGACTCTGAGAAACTTTTGCAACAGGCTCGCCTGCACATCCTTGCGCCAGAGGCACAGGCGAGTGTTCTTCATCCAGTCCTTGTCGAGTAGGTCCGCCTTCTTCATCAACAGATCCACCTGGTGAAGCTTCACGAACTGCTTCTTTGGCGGCAGACTTTGCGGCCGCTTCGAGGTGCTGGCCAGCGGATACTCAAAGTCCTCGTCGCTGGGATCCGTTTCTAGGTCATCGTCATCATCATCGTTTTCCGAGTCGTCATCACTGTCCAGCTTTGAGTGGCGACGCTTCGTTGCCTTCGCTGCCGTTCCAGCAGCCTTTCGCTTGCGACTGCCCTCGCCAGCGCCTGCTCCAGCTCCAGCTCCTGAGCCTCCAGCAACGGCCAGACCGACACGCGACTGCTTTGGTGGTCGCTTTTTGGTGGGGCGCCAGTCCTCCTCCGAATCGGAATCGTCGTCCGGACTGTAGTCCTCCTCGTCGCTTTCCACAAATGTGGTGGTCACCAGCTCGGTGCGACTTCGCATTCTTTTCTCTATTCCCTGGTTGCTCGCTCTGTTGCTGTGTGTTGCTCCTGTTGCCGAGGTCGAGGTTTTTTCTAGAGATTTTCTTAGCTCCTGCGCTCCTGCTGCTGCTGCTGTTGCTGCTGTTGCTGCTGCCACTTCTGCCTGCTGCTGAATGCGTCCCAAAGCTGAATGAAAATTTTATTGTTGACTCCGAAAAAGCTAATTTCCACACGCGCACACATGGACATACTGGTTGGCGCTCTTTATAATCGGTGTGGACTCTCTCTTTGGATTCCTTGGTGTATCCTTTGCGGAGCTTTTGATTTCGCGCTTTTCCCTGCTGTTTCTCTCTCTTGCTCGCAGTGTGCTTTTTCGTACGCTCACAGCGTTGCAGTTCGTGAGGCCACAGGGTTGTATTTGATGACACGAAGGGATATGCCCGTGTCTTCGGCTGAACTTAAGGACAGCAGTCGCTCAAGTCTTGTACTACCGCCAACATTTAATATAATTTGTACTCCTTTTAAGTTCTTATTTATAAAATTAATATATTTCCCCTTTTTATCCACTTTCTCCATAATCAGCGACACATTTCCCACGATGACGAACCAAAAACCAATACACTTTTATTACTTGTTTGCCTTTTAGAATATTTATATTTTATTTAAACATTTACGTAAAGCTGGACATTGGAGCACACATACACTAAGAGTCTACTACACTTATTTTATTGCTACTTCGTTGACGTATTTTCTATGCAAATTTCTAATTTCATTTACTCATGACTCGTCGTTCCTCTACTTCTGCTACTGCACTTAAACATCTAGTCGGAATGGTCTTCTCATCGCCATCATCGTCCGGCCATTCCTTAGACCTGCAAACGCTATACACGCGTGGGCGTACCATAGATGGATCCAGCGCCGAGTCCACTCCCAGCATTATTCCGCCTCTGGGCAAGCGGCGAGGCTGGCTGGATGGCCGCCGGCCCATTGTTGTTGTTCAGCAGGCGACGTTGCTGACTGTCCGAATAGGCGCGTTCTACAATTGGTGGAACATACATATATGTATACCGTTATGGGTATCTCTCCCGATCTTGTCTCATGCACTATGGGACGCAGGAAGTCTTTCTGTCTTTCTGTCTTTCTGTCTTTCTGCTCGTGTTCTCTTTGTGTTTGAGGCATGCACTTTTTTTCTTACATTTTCTTTTCTCTCTCTCACTCTCTCTTGCTTTACCATATATTTTCCGATTCTTCTTTAAATTGTTTAACATGCAAAAAGGAAAATTACAAAAAAAATAAATAAATATATTTATTTATATATTCGATAAGACTGGAGTTGAATGTGGGTGCTTGGGTGGCGTTAGCTGTAGTGAATGATTATGTGCAATGATAACTACTAAGGCAACCGTGTGGCACTGCTGCATGACGCGCGTTGCATTCCATCGGAAGTTTCTAGGATTTATCTTTCATTTACGTAGGCCTTACGAGCTTGCATTTCATTTGGATAGGACTTCATGAATAATTTTGATGGGAAACCTTGTGCCGAGGGTCAAAAAAAGTTTCCCTTTGATCTCCTTTGCAATTCGAATATCATCTCTGAAACAGAAACCTTATGGCACTGCTGCATGACGCGTTATAGGTTTAACTGAAGTTTTGATAGTTAGATCAACCAATTTTAGATAGAGTAAGCCCCAGACAGCAGGCCTTTGATACCATGGACAAAGAAAAATCGAAACGCTAACAGAACCCCAAACAGATGGATGGACGGACAGTCGCTTTGTGTTGCAAATCTTAAGGGTAATTGTAATGGTAAATTATAATTAAATGTGGAAATCAAAACCAAAGTGGAAGGATAGCATGCCGAATGAGAGGGTTTTATGAGAGGAGTGCAATCAGAGCCATGTGGCGATGGGAAAACCGATGCACCTACCTCGAAACTTCAGGCCCTGGGCCTCGTTGATGATGGCCGCCAAGGCCGGATGCTGGTAGCGTTCCCGGAATATGGCCGAACCATTTGTGTTGCCATTCAACGCGGCACCATTTCCATTGACATTGGCATTGCCATGATGGTGCTGCTGTTGCTGTTGCTGTTGTTGCATCATCAGCAGCTTATGCTGCGGCGTGTGCTGCGGCGTTAGGGATGTGGGGGGCGTGGCATTGCCATTCTTATAGTAACGATTTTGGTTGGGATCGTAGGAGGCCTGCTGCTGCTGCTGCTGTGGTTGCTCGTGATTCTGATTCAGTCGATTGGCCATCTTGATGGAGGCACAGCGCTCCTCCTCGTTGTTGCGCATCTTGAGGATACGTTGGTCCTGCACCGAGTAGCGCGAACCGTTCAGGGCATTCAGCTGGTTGAGATTGCTGACTTGGCTGCTCAGCTTCTTGCCCCGAAAGCTGCCTGCTGGCGAGCCATTGTTCAGCAGAGTGCCGCGCGAGGAGCTGCCGTTCGTCTCGGTGCTGTCCCGGGATGCCTCGCGATAGCTGGACGGACGATGCGTGGACGGTGGCGTATCCAGGCCGCTGTCATGGGCCGAGCAGTCCAGTTCGATTTTGCTGGGTGCACATCCTCCTCCTCCACCCGTGGGCAGCATGGGTTGAACTGCAAAACACAGCAAAGATTAGTGGAAAGGAAACTTGCGCAAAAACAGGGGAAAGACTCACCTGAGTGCCGCATATCGGTGGGCGCTCGGGGCTTGCGGTATAGCCAGTCCCTGTCCAGCTCATTGCCATTGTCCGGTGTGGCACTGACCCCGCGGAAGAGCCTGGGACGTCGGAGTTGAACCTCCGCCTCCTCTGTCTCCTCGTCGACCACCTGATTGCTGCCGAAGCTGCTGTTGATGAAGATGCGCCTGGGCGACCCATACAGAGCTCCGCCCTGCGTGATGCTGTTCTGGGCGGAGGCATAGCCGTTCGAGTACCGACTGAGATTCGCATTGCTGTGGTGGGGTATCTTCTGGGGTGTCGAGTGGTTCGTGCTGATGCCGCTCAAGTGGTGGTTGTGGTTCTCGTTGTTCAGCGCACTCAGATCTGGCACCGAATCGGAGAAGAGGAAGGGATTGGCGCCACCATAGCCGTTCAGGCTGCCAGCTCCGATCTTGTGGCGTGCCAATCCGCCACCCGTTCCATTCGTCATCAGCCAATCATCCAGAGCACTCGAGTAGGTGCCACCCAGTCCAAAGTGCTGGAACTGCAGCGAGGCATGCGACACGGGGGCAGCCAGCGAGGCTCTCGAGCGCGGTCCCTGGGCAATCTTCAAGGCTCGTCGTCGCTCCTTGGAGGTCATAGTGCATTCCTAACAGAAATATGCGGTTAGTTTTTAAATCCAACTTGCCTTTTTATTCATGATTTACATACCTCCAAAAGCTCGAACCAATCCTCGAGGCCATCGTCGCAGCGCAAGAGCACACGACCCTCGCGACCCAGCAACAGTCCAATGGCGCTGTATGAGCGCCGATTTAGCCACTCCACCTTCTCGACATCCACCAGCTTGACCTGAGTAAGAAAGAACAATGGAAAATCGTTAGTTAAACAAGTTAAAGTTAGTTCTTAAAAAACTAAAAGAGTTGTGTGGGGGCTCAGTGTGGGCTGATTAACAATGGAACTACTGGTGCGGGTGCGAATGGGGTCAGGGTTTGAAATTAGTTAAAGGAACTGCCACGGAAATCTTAAAGCTTAGATTATTCGAGTGCTAAGACTTATATCTGATGGGAAGAGACATTGGATGTAGAATAAAATCGCCAAGAAAGGCCCACAACTCTAAAATTTAAAGTTGCAAATAAATCTCAAAAATCTTGCAGATTGGAATAAAC